CCCCAACTCCTTGCCAGCGCGCACAGGACAGGGAGGGGGCGCTAGGCGGCAGCGGGAGCAGGGGTTGCTGGGTGCGGTAGGGAAGGGCGGGTAGGCGCCACCCGTGGCGCCACTCCAGGCACTCCAGCATAGAGGCGTCACCGCCACTGGAGTCCTACAGGCCTTACTGCGCCTGATAGAGACACAAACTAAAAGCTCAATGTCATGCAGTGACACACTATCTTGCATCGCACCAAAACTAAACAAAAGTTGTGCACCAAACGATAAAGCTGCTGGTCTTGAATCGAAAGCGCATGTGAATTTTACTCACTTGTGTTGCATCTGCTGTCTAACATGCTTTTGCACTCCTCTGCTCTCGTGCCATTGGTCTCTGGAAACAACAACAAAAAATATTGGAAATGGGTAAAAATTATATTGGTACAATATGTTTGTGACGATTTTCTTCAGATAATACTTTACATAAATCATACAGCCATACTTTCATATACAGAGAGTTGGTTGTAGAGAACGTAACAGTACTCCATCCATGTGAACAATAATCTTAAAATCGGCACATCACAGCAATTATAGAAAGAAATAAGTCCATTGCTGAAGAAAAGTCATCACAAGATAAAAGAGGATTCTACTGGTGATGTATACAACTATGCTTACTATATAATATTAACAGTCATTTGGTGTTTCAGATAGTGACAAAAGTGTAATCATGTACAAAGCAAATGATTTTTTTTTAATTCAATGAAGGGATGTCATACTCACAAGAGCTATCTCCAGATTTAACAAGGTTTCTCAGATAAATGATCTTCCTCACTTAAATTCTTCCATTGACATTGACACAGATGTACACTCACACTGACAAAGAACTAATACCTAGAAAAGAAAGGTAGGAGTTTTGTCATCATTTTGACAACAAAGTCATCGGTGACTCCACTCCACTGCCACCTGTACCACAAACTTATTGCGTCTGTCGTCTGTCCTTGTCTGCTAATACGCACTAGCCAATTTCTCATACACTGATACAGGCTGGCCCAAAAAATAATCAAAAGTAACTTATCCCGCATGTCTCTGTTTGGTCGCGGAGACATGCAGGCCTAACTCCATTTAGTTAACAGAAAAATATCTTCAAAAAATAAAATTGTGAAAATAAGCGTATTATTTCGGGGACTTTAAAATTAGGAGACAGTACTGACAGCAGAGAAGGGAAAACACGTTGAAAAAACAACCCTGACGTGTCGTGTGAATAAGTGCACAGATGCAGAATTATTCGCACTCAATTCAACCTTGTCATTTTCATTTTCAGTTTTTGTTGTGAGTGGCGAGGGGTGAGAAAGAACGCAGTCCCTTGACAACATTCAACCGAAACAATTTAAGAAACTTCTCGATCGATGAATTGTTTTGCTGTATCTGAGCTTGTTTGCTAATTAGCGCTGTCTTGATCGTAAGTAACTCCACACTGTCACATTGTCTGTTGTGTTGGTTGGTTACATCTTGTTATTCGAAATTTAAATATTTGGGAATCTCTAAAAGGTGACTCATAATTCATTTTCTGAGGATTCTTGTTAAGTTTGCAATGATAATTGCAAGTTAGCAGTTACAGACATGACTTAAGGGCTATCTTACCATCAGAACATAACTTTTAAGTCATGCATAAATTGCGAGATCATAATTTTCTTTCATTTTACGCTCCTGCAAAGTTTGCTTAGCTTAACTGAGCGCATGTACTGATTTATTCTGTTTGCTTGCAGGGCATTGATGGCTTTTTCATCATGGCTAGGATTTGGGAAGAAAAAGCCTTCCTCCAAATGGGATGACGCTGATGAAGCCCGTGAACGTGAACGTGAACAATCATCTGATGACAGCTATGTTGTAATAACACGGAATCCACAACCAGCAGGAAACATGTATCCAACATTTGACCCCAACGATTCATCAGTATCTTTGCCATATTTAGTTCAGCCTGCACCCTCACTTCCTAGCCATGGATCACACTCTGCAGGTTCTGACATACATTTAGGCAACCCTTTAGATGATGTGCCATTTAAATTATCCTCACAACTTGTCGGTGGATCGCCAGGCTGGTCTAGAAATGATGCAGCATTTTATAAGTCTGTAGTGTCTGCAGCTGTTCATCACAATGAAACAGTGTATAAGTATGATTTCTCTCATGAGGAATCAATTATGAGAGAGAGCACTGATGTTGGATAATTCATTCTGTTGTTAATTATCACATTGGCTGATTCCGCATGCTTGTAATTGTTTCCAATTTGAAGGAAAGCATTACAACTGAGTTCAATCAAATCTGACTTCATTTTCAAATAATTTCAATGCATGAGAAAAAAATCAAAAACTTGACATGTGGGCCATTTGTGATGGCAATTATTTACCAGTGTGGATGCTTTCAGCCTGTGGATGTATAACAAAGATTCACTGTATCAACTGACCAGTGGTACGCTATGAATTTACAGTTCTTCCCAAAGTAATAAATCAAATTGAAAAGGGAAAAGCTTGAGTAGACCATTTTACTTCAAAATTCAGTGAATAGACACATGGAAAGACTGGCTCACAATTATGAGAAAAGTCCATAAGTAGGTATGTACAACACCAGATTGTAAAAAAGCAAATTACAAGAGTTGATGAAATGCTATCACTATTATCACACAAAGCAGTCTCTGTATACTAAAATTCCATTTTTGTAAATAAATTAATGGAATATTGGTGTAACACTGTACATCAGTTTTGATTATCTAATAAATGTAGCTTAAGGAACCATCTTAGAACTATTCATTAATAAAAACTATACCCTGGCAACAGTGATTGATATTTCCATACACTTTCCTTGACTCTAAAGAATAGGATAAAACTATGAAATCAGATAACTCTTGTTTCACACTGTCACATGGATAGTTTGCTTCGTGCCTTAATATTAAAATTCATGGATTAAGTTTCACAAACCTAGAATCCTCACTTGATTTTGCAAAATGCCTAAAGCCTTCAAATTAATTACTAAGTATAAGAAATTCAGTGACTAGAAACAGGTGTTTGTCACAAAATTAAAATACATGTGAAAAGTTTAAGTACAATTTGTGCAGACAATAAAAATTAACTAATATAACCATAACATGATCCATCGAAAGGTTTAGGTTGAAGTTTGGTTGCCTGCCTACTTACTTAGACAAAAAATAATATGCAGAATAGCTCAGGGTTACTATTAAAATAAAGGGAAGCCAAGTTTTCAGCCATCCACCTAGACTGAAAAAACAAGAGAATAGTTTTGATGGTAAAAATATTGCTGGCAATGTTAAGATAGATTTAAGAATAGGACTTGTTGTGTACACAAATGTACAGCTGGAGGTATGATACTCACCCAACATATTTTCCATTCCATAACATGAAGAATGCCAGTCGAACCATGTTCCAGCTAGTACTGTCATCATAGTGCATTAAATTGAGCGCCATTGCTACGTGAGAATGACAGTTGTCACAAAACAAATTATGCTGAAAGTGAAAAAGAAGGTAGTATGATTTTGAATAAAGATGCAGTTGTAATATAAAAATATATGCATTTTAAAAACTAACCATTCTCTTCTTGTAGGCTTCAGAGGCATCTGTAACAGCTCGATCCCAGCCATTCTGTCCTCCTCTTGCTTTATTTACTTTCAGCTGCCAATACTTTGTGGGTTTTCCGAAAGCCATATCATCCTCTGATACATGATAGGGGCCTGCGAAGTCCCTAATGACACCTGAGGACATTGCAATTCCCATATGTCCTATGAAGGGAAGGAACCATCTAAAAATTTAAAGTAACATGTTAAAAGCAATACCAGTTCTTTGAATGCAAAGCAATGTATTGACATTTAAAAAAAAATATATAATTTGTAGATACATAGATTTACAACATAACCAAGAAAGTACAAAAGTGGCTTACGTTATGAAAGGAAGCGGAGTCCAGACAATGCAGAAGGGATATCGTGACGTCGTATGGTCCATTGGAGAGATTATCAGGCTGTCTATTTCATTACCATTCCAGTTGGGACGAACGGGCGAATTGCTTTGACTTTCCAAGTAAAAGATCTTGTTGCTACTTGTAGTGCTGTTAGCTGATGAATCTTGGTCCTCAGAAAGTCCCTCCATAGACGATGACTAACAAAATAGCTAACTGTTCCAGTAAATATGAAGGATAACGATAGATCAAAATCAAAACAATTAAAAGACAGACAGCGAGTCGGCGTAAAAATGGAAAGTGGCTGGAGATGGGTGGTAGAGGGGGCGGGGACGGGCAGGGGAGAGGGAAGAGGGGGTAGGAGGGGTAGCGTAAACAAAACATTGCAGTGTGCAACCTATGCAACACATAAAAGTAAAGCAAAAAGCTGCAAAAAGTTACGACAAGCACACATAGGGTATACAGAAGAAATAATGAAATATTAGCTTTTATAATTATTAATTGAGAGAATTTTTAATGTGATTTGTTTAGTATGTGAACAATTCAAAATTAACGAATTACTCCAAAATTCATTGGTGAGATTTTCCCTCTCAGTGTTTGGCGATCATGATTTGTGTCCGCGCTGCTCCCGGCAAACTTCCGGAGTTCAACCTGACCGACGAGTTCTAGCTCGCAGTGTCGCTTGTTGAAGAGGGTTGTTGTTTTGCGACTACGACATGTGTTGGCTGTGTGCTTAGCGGACGTGGTATTCTTTCTTGGTTAGTAAGCTCAGAGATTGAAAGACAGAAAAGCACTTGCTTCTTGGTTATTATGTGAGTATTATTTGTCGTGATGCATTCATCGTTCTTGAAACGCTGATGAGCTCGAGCAGTTGGTTCTGTTTGGGATCGTGTTTCAGGAAGCTCCTTCTTTCGGAAGGTTTGTGACGTTTTTATTACTATTCTTTCTCCTCCGCCAGGGATGCTACCGATGAACCCACGACTCTACAGCATATTCTTCGCCTTCATGAAGATAGACCCGATGTTATTCGTAAAGTGAAAAGAGCGTTTCAGCTTCTATACGAACGTAAGCCCGACAGTCAAACTCCGAAAGCTGTCTTTCTGTGAGTATGAGTTGTTTTTTTTCAATTTTGTGCGTTATGTCGAGGAAATTCTTTGTCTTCTGCATTTAGTGTTGAAACATCACAACATTATTTTCATTTGATAAACTTGTGTTGTCCTAGCCAATCACTGCTAACCATTCTGGAGAACTGTGGTGATTTTGCCATTCAAACGGGAGTCGTGCAACTCATATTGGCCAAGGAGGACGTGAATGAGTACAAGGAATGGTTTGCTCAGCAGTGGTTTGCTGGTATGCCCAAAACTATTAGCGACTTTATTGCTTTAGTACACAGAGGAGAAGATCAGACAATATCGGTAAGAACAAATCACACACAAACAAAACTATTCACCAAATTAAAAATATCAATGTGAAATGGTAATTTCAATTCTTTTCTTTTTACTTCATTTTAGAACATCTCCAACTTTATAATGACATTTAACATGGAACGACCATTGGAGTATGTTTGCTCTATGCCTATCTGTAATGTGAAGTGGAATAAAGTTCCAATTCCACAATCTAGAAGAGTAAGTATTTTCATTTTGTCAATTTATTAGTTTGAAATTTGATTATGAATTATTATTTTTTCTCAGGGAAGACTCATAGTTCATTTGAATTGTGGAACGCTGACATTAAGTATCACTGGTGCTGACCTGTGTCTCCCTAAAGAACTTGCCACAAGAGGGTCATTTTTTCTGAAGTGTAGTGAAGTGCAATTTGGAGAAGTCTATTCTTTGTAAGTATCCTTCTCTAATGCCCTATACAGTCATTCTGATACATTTTAGGTAATAATTTCAAATTTATCAGTCAACAGTCCTAGAGAAGGATAACTTGTCAAATTATTTTTGTAATGATCTGTTATTTTATTTTTATTATGATTT